CAAGTATTGTTTAATAGGCGACAAATGTGTGATTGTGGGACATTTTAGTTTGTCGAGATCTTTTGATCACATGACATTTTTTGTGTTTCAGGCGTCATTAATCCCATTTCGGTGTCAATGGAGGGTCAAGGTCAGTCGGTGGAGCAAAATGGGCTTTAACTTGCCTCACCCAAGCAATCGTGCCATTGTAGACGAGGAAGTTGGCGGGTCAGGAAAGTGCCCTCCATGGCAGTTGATTGAGGGGTCTTCAAAACGCCTCGACTAATCGAGAATTTCCTCCAACAGTTCACTTTTCGTTTGGACATTTTAGGTGACCGACTTCCAGACCTGATAGGCAATCATTCAGCCATGATGGAGCTAAAATGGTCACGCATTTTACAAAGTAGTAGTCCTCCCAATCCTGAAAAGGCACTTTTTTGGCAGCCGCGTTGATGCAGCAAATAAATGCTAGTGAAAATGCCCAAAAGGAGGGAACGAGGGATAGAAAAGGTATTTTTGTTGATCTTTTGAATGCTAAGTTGTATATTTTTTCCCCCTTTATGATTAGAATAACCACACTCGTGAGTGTGTTTGGGACCACAAAGTCTATCCTCGACGTAGGACGTGCTTTGTGCATAGGCTTATGCACAGTTTTAACAAAGAATCACGTCTGCAGTCTTTCCAAGTTGGTGCATTACAAAAATGACCAAAGCACTCGAGGTGAGGTAGTCTGCAAGGCTATTCAAAAGACCGCTCTACTTGCGTTTGTATTGCGTCCATGAAGTGGCGAAGCGCACCCGCAGACAACGCACAAGGAGTCCACCCATACTCCAAAGGATGAGACTTAAAGATGCGCTTAACACTAAAATGTTGCTCATAAAAGGAGTCGCATAGCGTTGAGTTCACAAAGAGTGGTCAGTAATTGCGTTGCTCACTGAATTTTTGATTCGAATGTAGATTGATGCCTACCCGGATGCACAAATGCGACTAAATTGTGTCGACGCAGCTATTTTGCAGCCACTTTGACCCTACGAAACGGCTCCAAAGTGCTATGACCAACGTGTTCAACCTTGACCCGGAGGACTGCCCTCCCCAGCCTTCAGGACACAATGCTGCCCGAGGAAAACTTTGCATCGCCATGAGGGTATCGTCATGTTCCAGGGGCTTGCGGGATTGGTGCAATTTAAATGATAAAGAGAATTTTATTTGCAAGGCTTCGAATCGTCCAACTCCATGTTGACATGTCTGCCGCTGCCTCCTGAGGTGAAACACAATTGGCAAATCATCGTCCAGCTTCCGCCTCGCAATGAAATATTTTACAGCTTTTCTTTTGTCTACAAATCAATTTGCAACACGATATACTACTTACTACCCCATATAAGTAGTCATATCCAACATTAGTAATTATAAGATTTAACTAATCATCATTTTGGTTGTTAGAAGAGGAAATATTTTAGGTTTCATGATCTCTTTTGTCAACGAAAATCAACTGTTGATCACTTTCATGCCTCCACAGAACGCTGACAAATCCCAGTTTTGATATCAAAATGCATCCAAATGTGGATCCACTCAACTACTTTAAGCCGTGATTTTTGAGGAGCTTTATGCCTCCGAAAAGTTATATTTTTTGCTTTATAATGTGCACAGTTTGATACGCATTGTTTGTTAGTACCTCCATCAGCTTCTCTCAAGGCAAACGGTTAATCTAAAAAAAACTGGCAGAGACTTGCTGGGATGCGGCGCAGGGCAATCTTGTCGCATTTGTCAGTTAAATGCATCCTCATGCATTTACACCCCTCCTTGCTCTGATCAGAAAATGTTTCCTTGTCTTAGGCAGTGTATCTACAAAAGGCGAAAAGGTTTCCATTCCCTTCCCCCTCTACTTAGACGAAGGCTTTAACACTGGAGTCTAACAATAATTGGTGGTCTTCCGCTTATTAAACTTACGTAGAAGGTGTATCACTTGTCAAGGCCTCACTGAACAGTCAGTCGCAATGGCCACGCAATCTACCGTCCAGATAAAGGTCGACTTGCCACAAGTTTGAGCACTGGAAGTGCCCTTGACCAGCACCAGTTCTGCATTTCCCTCTCTCGTCTTCAAAGCTGGTCAATCAATTTGAGGCAGAGGATTTGACTCGCCTTCAATCAAGACACCATCCGGGCACAAAACTAGGCGAACAAAGCCCTCTACGAGGTATCGCATTACACACTGAAGGGCAATGCAGAGGTTGGCACATCTTTCTCAGCACATTTTTTACACAGCCTCTGTAGAAGCTAAGGTTTGCTTTGTTTTGTTGGCTAAAACAGATTGCAATGCGGAAAGACTGATGCATAACTACCTTGACTAAACCTTAATTATACGTGATTGCTTTTTTCCCCACTGGTCTCATATTTTTTTGAGATGGAGAGAGAGAGGAGAAACCTCCTCCTCCTCCTCCTCCTCCTCTATTTTGACATTTCAGTGAAAGACATCTTTCAGGAATCAACCACGGAGTGCCTGATTGCAAAATGACAGTCCAAAAAGCCACGAAATGGCCTTAAAGTCAGCGAGCCTGAGACAGATCTTCGACAAGTAAATAAAAGTGACGCTACTTTTGACACTCCCCTTCATCTCCTCTTCGACAATGAAGACAGGTGTGAGGAGTGCAATCGCTTGGACTGCGCCCTGATTGGTGGAATGAGGGCGGATTGTGGATGCCTCTGAAAGATGTAAAAAGTTGACGAAACGCCAGACTTAAACCTCTGAACGAGTCTCTTTCTTGGTTATGTAGCAGTCCGTGCCCTTTGACCTTCTGCTATCTGACAGCTTCTCTAATTGCGCCATCTGTAGAGGTTCTCGCGTGCATGACCACCGAAGAGATGCCTGAGCTAGTGAATCCTCAGTGGGGCAGATTGCAAGCGATGTATGTACAAGAAGGTGTCTGTGCTGACAGAATTAGGTGATGAGGAGAGCGTCAGCATTCCACACTTTGCACCGATCAATGGCGTAAAGAATGGCAATGAGAATGAGGGAGAAGAAGAAGGCAGTGAGAGGCCAGAAGAGAGCATTGAATATGGTGGAAAGTTGGTAGACTTTGTACATTAACGCCTCATCGTCATGCTGGGCGGAGACGAAACAACGGAAGGGACCTCGACTTTGCAAGCTCAAACGAAACATTTGCACTGCAAAGTCATTTTCCTCCTGGCGTTGGAGACAGGAACTTGTTGCACACTACAATGATAGACAAGTAGACAGGCGGTTACGGCAAGAGAGAGGGGAAGAGAGCGAGAGAGACAGGAGAGAAAGGCAATTCCAGAGGGAACTTAACTAGGCTGCCTCTCATAGGTTTGACAAACTCTATCACAGCGGTATCTCGTAAAGGCATTTGTAAAGTCCTCCAAATTACGCAGCGTAAAAAAACAACCAAGGATTGAAAGAGGTGGCATCGGAGGAGAACAAAAGAATGGGAATGGCACAAATGGCGAGTCAAGAGAAATGGAAAGTCCCAAGCAGGTTGAAAGGATGCTGAAGACGTGGCTTTTAAGTCAATCACTGGTAGTGAAGAGGATCAAGTCGACGTCACCTCAGCAGAGGTGCCACCGACTGGTCACAAATTACCTGCACCAACTGACAACTACAATCGGAGGCGTTAAAGTCCAAGAAGGACATTTAGTTGCAGCTCAAAATCTCCTCTTTCTTTCTGGGGCCACAAATACTCCCAGCTTTTGAGGATTTGAGTCCTCAAAAGCTGGCGATCGGTGATATATTAACTTCAGTGAAGCGCAGAAGGACTTGAAGTTGTCCCCTTCATGCAAAATTAAAAGTTTCCAAGCAACGGCCTCATAATCCAACAGATTACAAAAGTCAAAGCATTTATGAAAGTATTTTGTTACAAAATATGCAATTATTGCAGTGTTTTGCTGAGACGCCTTCTGGAACAAAGGGGAGACACCCTCAGCCTCAATGAACAATCTTAGCGATCCGCGTCCAAATCGCTTATAAACCTTTTCTTCTGCCCACTTTTTTGTTGGCGATTCACTCAACACAAAAATAAACAGAACGCTGTCGCTGGTGTGGCATTGTGGTGGCAACTTTGAAAAACTGACGCTGTAAATTGACGGCTTCAAGATGGAAAACGGTGCTTCTCGAAGGTTAAAAAGGAAAACTGACCGCACACATCAGTTCAAGCTGTCTTGAAGTGTTTGTGAATGAACTCAAGTCACAGCTTTCGACAGTAAAAATTGACCGGCAAGTCAGTTAAATG